ATACCAACACACATATCAACGGGACACCTATATTATATATAAGGTTCTGGATTTGTCTACATCGTCTAGACTGTTTGGCAGTCAAACTGAAACGTTTACTTGTCACTTTACCAAATGAAGTTGATTCCAAGTTTCTTTTGTGCTCTGAACATAATTTTGGCTGTACCTTCCTTAAGTTATCATGATTAGTCTCCACCAGGCTAACAACAAATTTAGCCAAATAAGGAGAATAATTGGCCAGGGGAGTTTGGCCACCGTAGAGCTCATTTCAGGGTGAATTAACCCTCCCGCGGACTGACTCTCCTGGCCATCTATTTTTTTCTGAATTCTAGTTAGAGGCTACCTTATAATTAATTTTAATCATAATGTCTGTATGCTCAAGCAGTTCTAGCTGGAGTTGAATCTTAATCTATACTGTGCAGGTCATTTTCTGTTATCTTTGGAAAACGGCAAAAGCTGATGGGTTCTTCGTTGTTTTTCCATTGCCTTTTATTTCATTGTCTTATGTTTATCATTCACTTTGATGGCAACGGCGCTGGTACATTCGTTATACATTAATGACATATTAGCAATATGTCGGAACTTCAAGCGAAATTTGAAACGACTGCAGAGAGATATGATTATTAGTGTTGTCGGGTCGTGACCCGGGCACATTCATACCGACATAACGTGCAATTTTGTTTTTGGGCGGTGTGCATACCATAGGGATGACTGAGAGGGTGGATAAACATTGGACGGAGACAAGAGAAACCTGAATTTCGTAGTTTTGTAATCACAGAGGTCATGCCTTGTCCGGTTACTGAACGTGGCAGATATTAATAAAAAAGGATTTCTTTTTTTTTACTTACTTATGGAATGATTCATGCTGCCTATTTTTTCTCTGCCTGACACCTCCCTTCCTTCCTTCGCATGCCATAGGGGATCATAGGGATGACTAGGAGGATGAATAAACATTGGACCGAGACAAGAGAAACCCAAATTTCGTGGTTTTGCAATCACAGAGAGGGCCATGGATGTCTTGTCTTGTCAAGGTTACTGAACTTGGCAGATAAAAAGTACTTTTACTTCTTTATGACAATATTCATAATGCTTATCTCCCTGTCTGGATCTGGCACTTCCCTCAAATGGCCATGATAACACGGGCATCTACAGATACACAGATATAACCATGGATTAACATTCAATCATGCACGACAACGTGCATTTCTGTCATTTTCAGTTCGTCATAGAAGCAGTAAGTACTATCCGACTAAAACATGTAAATCTGCCCAGTGGTCCTCACAATGGGACTTTTCCCATCTATCTCATAGAAACTTTACGGTTCTGGACCAGCCACACCATACTGTATCTCCGTGACTTGGAGTTCAACCAAGACTACGTTTATAACAGGGTTAGGGGTTCAAGACAATAGCTATCATCACTGATGTTATTTGGCACTTAGTACGGACCACCAGCCAGAGTATTTCGGGCATTTCCATCCCGCTATTCGACCGTAGACGCCGCCTACGGGTCACTGGCTACACCATGTGCAGTCTGGGAGAGCGTTAACCAGGCTTTCCGGGCACCGACGAGGTCTGATGGACGACCAGTCTCCTTCAAACTTACATACATCATACACCCAAATAGAGCCTGGAAACGAGGCTACAACAACTGCTCTAACCGCTTTTCCAGGCTAGTAGCCTCGTTTCCAGAACCAAGTCGGAGTCAATATATTTTAATTGTAACTTTTCTCTATATAATTTCATGACTTACATCTATTAAAGAACATGTAACTTGAAATAAACAATTTCAACTTTAAACTTCATTGTAATGGCATAGCATCTTTGAGGCCTAAAATATCTAATAATCTTCATCAAAACATTGACAACTCATCAAATCATCCTTGATGACTAAATCCTCACAAAGTTAGATTTACAATAATATATCTGAACAAACCTTTAATTTCTAGGGAATGTACCTGACATTGATAGCTTCTCACAGTAGAAGAATTAGTCAACATTGCGACTGTTTGAGCGATTTGAAAACAAGAGAGCTGCTAGGTTTCAATAATTGTACATTCAGGATTTTGAGGTCTAGGTTGAACAAATCGCGACAGCTTTCCCGTTCGGCCGAACGGAGGAAACAGAAGTTGTGTTTATTTGCCTTTGTCGTCTATTACAAACCTTGGAGACAGACAGAACTAGAGCAACTCACTGTCACTCTTCCACCCGACACTCACATCTGACAATTCTCGCTATGCGGTGAAGTTTGAGGGAGCAGCCGCCTTTCAAACAAACCTTCCACGCGTCAGCTGTGCTAACGGTCCGGTATGGAATTTACCGTCGTCGTAACGACATTTCTCGGCTTGGTTTGCGAACAGCACTGCGGTGGGTTTGTCCATACAACACTGCAGAGGAGACAGGGCAACCTCCATCCACTCAAAACCCGCACTTCCATCCTAAATTTAGAACTGATGACATTGAAGTATCTCTGAACACTTTCGTTGTTATGGTAACGTTATATGGTTGCCATGAGTACAGCACGTCTCACCAGCGTGTTTTATTTACAAAGGCGGAGGTCCAGTTGCTATGAAAGCAAATAAACAAACATGGTGTTTACTTTTACTCGGGGTGAAGGTAGGGGAGAGCGTGGTTGGTTGGGGGAAGGCACAGACTTGCTTCTCTTTCGTGGTCTAGCTCCACGCATATGGCAAACTCGTGTGTCCACAAAGCCGGTGGTCAGGGCACACGTCTGGGCCTGAGAAGGAAATCCCTCGCGTCATTCGGTATGTTGATGGCCGGTTTGATCCGTCTGCATTCCGGCAAAATGGTTCGCATTATGCCCGAAGTAAGAATGAAACATTAGGATTACTTCTCGATGATTGAAGCTGTGGTACTCTGTACTGAGACAGCATCAGGGCTTCAGGTGTTTCATAGTTGATCATTCCAGACGTCCCGTGGTCTATGTAAACAAAAGTAAGCACATTTAATCCTCTTCGTGTCTTTGCCTCGTTAGTTTCCTCTGAACAGACTCCACAGGGTACGTTTAAAACCCACTGAGGTGGAAAATCGACCAGGACTTGGTCTGTTATAAGGACATGCCAGCCATTCTCCGGAGGAAGAAAATGTCAAGAAGAGAAAGAGGCCGTCTTGAGGGGAAAGGGATTTGCATCGGAGGAAGGTTTTGCAGGAAATTGGGAGGACCTACTAGGAAGCCGACAGATTAGGAAATACCTGGTAAATCAGTATAGTTTCTCTCTGCGGCCTCCTCTTACCGTTGTGAGTCAGCGGCACCGACAGGATGTGAAATGCAGAATCATCCCACAATCATGTTGAGAATGTCTCCAAAGAAGAACACCACTGAAAGAACGACGTACAGCAAAGCTCTCAAAAGGCACTTTGAGTGAGATCGTCTTCGATCAGTCCACGTGGTGTCGACTTTAGGATCCCATAGAGCAAATATTCCTGTGCAGCAAGGAAGAAAAAAAAGCCACAGACTCCCGGCTTTAGTTGACATCTGTTCTTCTTCGTCGTCCCGTCCAAGTGCAAGTGGACAACCGAGATGTCCAAGTTGCCGCAATAACCAAGACAGTCAAACGAACCATCCCGTCTGTCAGCGTGAACATCCTTTCCTCCTGCTGCTTCGGTTTCCTCCTAAAAACAGGCCGCCACTTTTATTAGCTTGAAGACGTGTATATCAATGCCTGATAGTGCCAGAGTGCCCTGAGCATCGAGCAGTGCACGCGGCTGGCTGACAAAAACATGTCGTTTGAAACTCGACTTTTCGTCAGGCTGACAGAGACATAGAGTCCACAGACATTGATATGCCAGGTGTGACCTTGGACGTGAAGAACTCAGCACGAAAGTCATGGCTAGCCTCGAGTTTCACGACACGAGCGGCCTGAGCGGACAGGGGCGGCCTCTCACTGCAAGTATATCATCATCACCATGACAACCGCGGAGCGCTCACATCTCCTGAGAGCCAATTAAACTTAATGACACGTTAATGACCAGGTAAACCGAGAGGTTATGAGTCTCCAAGTGGCTTTGTCACCACTTTGTTGACAATTGGTCCAGGATTTTACAGCTGGCTTCCGGCGTTACTAATCGGAGGCTTATCCCACCAAGTGGGTGGAGCTATCGAATCTACAAAAACTTCGCCAAGTAGTTTTTCACCACACGGTATATAAACATGTATCATGGGGCTCTTATAAAGTATGTGTTGCAGGTAATTTAATAAACCTGTTTTTAATGTTGCTTGGCATGGTTTGACAAGTTGGAGAACGGTTAAAACGTCACATAGGCAACCCGACCTTGGAGTTTAATTGTTAACAGAGACCGCAAGCAAGACTCTGAAAGACGAACTGCTCGTCCATATTCAACAAAACAAGCTGGTCTGTGTCAGCCTGTGATGAACCGTGAAGACATTGGTAAAGTTAGGAAGGAATGGTTATCATCATAGAAAGCAAGACGAAGTCTGGAATTCCATGAGTTATAGGGTATAGGAAACACTAATTTTAATGTCGATCTAATCTTTATTTATCGATTTAATTATCTGTATAGTAGGGGCAAAACTACGAGCGACGATGATACACTGTATCACACAGTCACAGGATGACCTCAGTTCGATTTGGTTATTGCAACAATCCTGTAAACTGATTTATTTCTGATTAAAGATTCCGATTTTAAACAATGTTTTGTTTGTCTAATTAATGTTTTTGTTCTTCAATTATACCAGAGATACCGTGATATAGTACCTTGCAGAGCACTTCACAGAAATAGCACGACAACTAATTTATCCTAAACAATATCGTTCCTGCTGACCTGAATGATACTTTCTGGACGGTCCCGTTTAGATGAGCTGGGGGCATTTGCCGTCTAGCAGACCCCTGTGCAGCATGGGGAAACCTAACATCACCCCAATCGCGACTGGCAAATATTTTCAAGCGAACCAACGAGACTCTGTCATTTGATAGCGGCCCAGGGTGGCAGTGGATGACCGACCCCCACAAACATGGCGTACCCTGGGCCCACTTATAGCTCCCTCCCTGACACGTGTATAATCTTATATCAAGATCTAGATATGTCACACTACAGGTCACGACATCTGTAAGAGTCAAAACTCCGACAGATGACTTTTACGTCTTGGATCCGGGGCGGTAAGTAAGTAAGTAACAGACAACGGGGAAAACCACCGTTTCTGTGCCAATATTTTGACAGGAAAAATGTTTGCCATTTGGCCATTCCATTTGCTGCACAGATGGCAAAAAGCACGCAGTGACAGTGGGTAGACAAAGACGTTCTAGAAGGGCGAGTGAAGCTATCTATGTGTTCCGCCCTGCGCACATAAACACACAAACACTGTTAGAGTTTCACGGCGACTTGACGTTCGGTACATCTCCGGGGACGGTCGTGGTTCTCTCCGAGACATCGCCGACTAGCCTCCCGACTTGGCGGAAACTGACTCACGTGTCTACATCTGTTCTAAGGAGTCCCGGGACGTCTCTGCGCGCCGTCGGGGAGAAAGAGAAAGCCCCCAAGCATCTCACTGGGACAGACGTCTGGAGGGAATTGGCTCTGCCCCTCCCCCCGCCCGCAGGAGTTGGTACATTCCATTTTCAGCACCAGGTTGGCTACAGCGCCACTCGGGCTATAGACGAGACGGCCACAGACTGGTGACCGCCGCGCACTGTGGAGCATCTCGACCGTACCCCGCTTGGAATAACTACCGCCTCGCATCACAACTCCTGGCGGAGGATGCGTTAGAGTCTCTGCGAGCTTACCAGCGAGGCATAGCTCTGCGAAATTGTAAGTACAGACGTCTTTTTTTCTTATCCGCGCATCCCGCAAAGCTCTGGGATCTAGAGGAATATTTTCGTATGCTCTTTTCTGGGCCGGTATGTGACCCTCCTCGCATGGGGTGTTTGCATTGGTGTCCCACCTCAAAACCCGGGCTGATGTTCCGAGAGAGAAAGTCAACAAGCAGTAAAACCTACACTAAGCCACTAGCAATTGTTACTTTTTCCACTCCGCCTTTGCCTTGGGAGGGATATCGAAGAGAAGCGAAAGTTCTTGAAAGGAAGCTTAAGATGAAGTAGCCGTATCCCAGCTTTCATCAGTAGATCTAGGATCATCTAGATACCTGCCAGGGAAAGTAAAGGCAAAGTTGACGCGGTTCCCAGTACAATTTCCCCTGAAGGTACTCCGCGCTCCACTTGCCAAGCGACAGACGGTCTCTGGAAGAACTCACTTTTATTTTTTGTTTCTCCGCCAAGAATCTTCCAGGACTACTTGATGAGAATAACCGCAACGGCCAGGAGATAGTGTTAGTTTCCCGTCTTCCAGGGCTTGTAGAAAGTTAGACGGGTAAGTCTACGTTCTGCTTTGTTGGTCTTTGCGATGTGTATGTGTGTGTGTGTGCGTCGGCGACTTGGGCCGCCATATGTCGTCGAGAGAGAGAGAGTACTTCACAAGTAAACACTTTCACTATCTCCAAGCGCCTTAGAGCACTTCCTTTCCTGGAGCAATCGCAAGAGAAATCGTCCAGTAGATTGGAGAAGGGAGCTCGATTGAATAGAAGGATTCTAGAAATCCCAGCCCTACAGTGTGCCGCGGGGTGGTGGGATTGAGGAATTACGGAATTCTAACCTTGATAACGCGAAACAGATGAAACGCCACATGTTGGCGGGGCTGCCTGCCCCAACCACCAACCCAACCCCACCACCTCACGCACTCTCACCTTCTCCTCATGCGAAATTTTGTTTTGCGAAGTGTTCCTCTCTCAGTGTTGACAAATTGATGTCATATCTGTAAAGCTTGTGTATACAGTCCATAGAGTTTTAATAGTTCAAAAACTAGCGCTTGCCCCCCATGTGGGCAGTTTGGAAAACGCGAACGGGTGACTTGTGATTTATGGGCAACCTCTAGTTCCGTGCCTGACCTTTCATTATCGACAAATGTCTACATTTGCATCTGTTTCTGTACCGAGTTATGATCTATTGATATTTCTGTTGGTTTTGGTCGGGATGTTTGGAACTGGTTTGGCGCTGTGCCTAGAAATCCCCCAGTCGTGGTGCGGTGACGAACGAACCCGCAATTTATTTGGGTTTAATTACAAGCGAGGAAACCGAACACCGCCGTACAAGCTGGCCTGGACTCTCTTCGGATGGAAACAGGCTGGCTGGATTTCTGATCGTACGCCGAGTCGGCTGTCTGATCGTATAAGACCAGAAACATAGCAGGTACCAACGCCAAATCAGTTCCACACCAAACACGCTCTAGCCTGGGAACCATATGCTACATTGGCGATGGAATGTTTGAGACACACATGATCAGAGTATAGGATGTTCTATTTTGACAGACAGGGCGCCATTTTGTTGACCTTGACTTGCGTACTGTCCTTTCCATCACAGGGCCATGGGGACGTTATGGGATGTGACGAGGATAAACCTCGCCATCTTCCTACTATTAGTTGTACATGGTAAGTGTTTCGGAATCCTTTCCCCAAATATAGATCAGGCTTTGTTTACAGACGAAGGCAAAACCGCAATATGTCATTGTCTTGCTGTCTCAAGGCGACATGTGTGACTGATTAGCACAAATAAATAGGGCCATCTAGACTTTGGCAGGACATAGTCCTCACTTGAAATGAACATGTACCCGTGTCAAACATGTAAGATTCTGCGAATTGGTCTATCAATTCTCAGAATATCAATTTTTTTCTCCACCAAACAATGTCATCCTTCAGCTCTTATTTTCTCTTTTATTTTAATTTCTTAACCTGTCAGACTTCTATGAGTGTTCACTTAGACGGTCTTTTCCCTTTTCTTTCCAGCAAATGCTCAGTTTTCTAGAAAGAAAAGTTCGTCCTGCGACTGCCCTGAGGTGAGTGCGCTTCCTTTATTAGCCAATCAGAAGTCTAGACAGTTGCCCCTGGCAACGAGCAAATATCCGGAGGGAGGGAAGGGCGGGGAATGTCCTCCGGCTGTTCCACCTATTGCTCACCCTCAGACGTTTTCGGCAAACTTTGTTTGACCGTGCACATTGGGTATGTAAAGGGTAATTCAACGACTTGAATGAGTTCCAACTAAAGCAAATATACATCGATCACCGCTGCAGCTAATTCGCCTCCGGAGATGTAGCTAAATTTGGTCGATGTCAGAACAGAGTCAAATTCCAAAGGTTTTGAAAGGTTTCACTCAAAGTTTTGACGCTTCGTGGTAGCTCACAGACCTTTGTATACGCAAGATGCTTCTAGCCTGATCTTCTCTTTGCGTGACACGAAATGTTCACAGTGGAAATTGCACTGACTTAGAGTGATAGTTCAAGGGACCACCAAGGCCTCCCCTCACAACAAACCAAACTTCTCTGTAGAAGGCCCCTGACGCCAGGAGGAAAAATGTCAATGTCATTACCTTTTGTGTTGAGAGGTCAGAGCAATGCAGTTCCATTGTCCTCTTGCGAAGTGATGGAAAATATACACTTCTGTGCGTTGTCATAGTAGCCTATTGTAGATACAGAGAAAAAACAACTTGACTTCAACTTTAGAGTATGATGTCGGGCTCATGTAGATCTTTGTATCTTTACATTGAAACGCCTATAATGTGATGCTATTACGAGACACCCCCCCGTCCTCTGTCCCTTCCCCCATACTGAAGAAAGGCCACACCATTTGGAACCCCTGTGAAACCAAATTTGATCACCAGGCACTGTTTGAGATAAGTTGTGGCGGGAATGGCACGCTGTACCCGCCCCTAGCTGCCAGCTAATAACAACCATATTTCCACTGTCTCCCTCCTCCAAAACATCAGGTTTCTTCTGGATTGGCAGATTTAGGACGGGCCCACATGGCTCATAGGGTGACTGATCCTTCAAAGGAGGGACATTGAACGAGGAAATTCTTTCACGCGTTTAGACTGTCGTCATGTATCATCAACCCAACCCAAAAATAAGACACCGAAAATTCAGTCTTCGGTAGCGCCAAATTATGCCCGTTTTAGTAGGAATGGTACAGAGATTACTGACTATACCATAGTATTATCTAGTGACCACGAAAATATAAATCAAGAAAGACACGATTCTTTTCTATTTTTGTGCACAGACCTTACTGTATACAATCTTACTTAGTTCACACAATTTGTACGAGGAGTGCCCCAAACACACGCTGAATACTGCTTACACTACAAATTCCCTCTTATTTCACACAGTTTTCAATCAACACTACATTAAGCGACGCTAAACCGGTTCTCTCACCTTCGTGATGTTTACACTTGTACCACACCAAAGTTTGCCTTCCAATGACCTTTTCTTAACTAGTAAAGCCTTGTGACCAAAACTTTATTCTTCCAAACTACGAAAGGCGAGCTCGCTAACACAAATAAATAAAGGTGTAGTAGTTGTGTGTAGTGCAAAACCTGTAAATGGGCGCAGAGGCCAAAAGAGTTGTGACGTTGTCAGCTGAGCTGTAAGTAGTTCTGTTTGTTAGCTGAAGGGTTGCTAAATGCTGTTTGACTAGGAGAGGCTAGTTGGAATTCTGTGCCATGACCCTATATAGCTGCGAGATGCCGCGAGGAAAAACACAACCGTTTACCCAGCGTACCGCACGTATGCTAACGAAGACGGATGGGAGTAGCTCATATGTCTCTCGGCTAATTTTAATAAAGGGGAAAACCGGGTGACTGACACCATAGACGCCCGTGGTTTTTGGCCAGAGAAAGGAGGTTAAATCATTCATTTAAACCTCCTTGGTTATAGACCATTTTATAATCTAAACTTTCGTAGTCCGTTTCATGTATTACCATTATGATGCCAATTTATGCTAATTATCACCCTCTGTTACTCTAAATACTTTGACGTCGGAAGTTGATTTGTTCACGGTAGACGTTTTTGAATTTGGCACGCGCTGTTGGAACGTATTGTGTCAAGTAATTACATTCTAGACTAGTCTGGCACACGGGAAGACGCCAAAAAAGTATTGACTATTGTAATCTGAATCGCCACAGACGCAGCTTTTTTATTATCTAGATTCCACACCCAACAGGACTTGGCTCTAGATTTGATTCGTCATGGTTTATCATTTATATGGAGTCGGAAGTCAATTTCCATCGTTTTCGCCCAAATCTGCAGATTCAACGAATTCAAAGTCACGACTTTCGAAATGTGGAAGTAATTTAGGGCTCTTGGCGTTGATCACTAAACGTGTATGTCTGCATTTGGAAGGCGTGTTGGACAGTTCTTGCTTTAACTGTCAGCCAACTGGCTTGGATATGTGATGACAGTAGAAACGCTAAGTACCGCAATTATATTAATGTGCCCTAGAGGTGGTGTTTAAAGTGCTTTCATGGAGTTGGTGCGAAAAACAGCCGCGCGGTTGTCAAAGCTGTGCACATCTGGGAGACCTGGTAAACTGCTTGCTGAAAGAAAAGCAGTTTGACTTTATAGAACGTGATTTCACGAGAAGCCAGCTTTATCCAGTAATCTCTCATGATCTTTGACTGTTTAGTTTCTAAACACAGGTGTCATGGGGTCTCTAAAGGCCCATTCCACATCCCTCTATCACTTTGATGAGTCGAAAGCGTTCGATAACGTTATGTACACAAGGCTCGTAAGGCTGCACTCAATATGGCCGGCGCTCTCAGTTTCTGTCAACTTCTGACAAAGGCAAAAAGTCTCGGCACTTTTCCAAAGCCAGCTATTTAGACTGATTGTGGTTTCCCGGGTCCCTCTCACGGTGATCCGTACAATAGCTTGCGGGCCAAGTTTAACGAGCAAAAAATGTCGGGGTGAGCCAAAGAGTCGTCCGATTCAACAAGACCATTCCCTCAGTAGGAACACTTGTATGCTTGGCATTCTGGACGAATCATTGCTCTTACGGTACCTATAAGTGTGGTACATACTGGTCGCGTTCCCAAGTTGCCAAAGGCTTGGAACCAAAGAATTCCAGCGTGTCCAAGTTAATGTAGTTAGTCTTTGTGTACACCCGGAATAACCCTGGTTTAGCTGAAATAAATAAAGGTCAAAGTCAACGCCTTGTAGCATTTACCCCTTGGTTTTAAACAATTTCCAGATAGCATGTCATAGGTGTATTAGGGAGTACGGTGGCTGACTCCTCTTGTTATGAAGAAATGGAGATGTGTCCTTTGGGAGACAGACTAGAAAAGTTCCCCAAAGTTTCCCACTTTTCTCCTAACCCAGGTTGATCTAGCCTGGCTGCCAGACTGTTTCCATGGCCTACACAGGTCAGTTCCTTGGTTCCAGGGCCAACATGCTCCCAAGGAAATTACATCACAGCCCCCCTCAGTTTATAATAGCGTGCTGGATGTGGGTCTCGCATCCAGGTTATGGTTGATCGAGATGGGTTTGTTCAAAGTTCGCTATATACGTCATAAGCAGCCATATTGGTTTCCTCTGAATATCATAATTATGATAAATGGCATGCCTGTATAAATTTCCTCCTTCAAACATTTGTATAGTTTCGAGAAGCATTGGCAGGTGTGGCCGAGTTTTGAATTCTCTCGCATGCGATCTCTTTAGGTAATCTCCTTGGGAATCAAAGACCTTTATTTTCCTTTTATTCTTTCCGACACACCTTGCCAAAAACCTTCTCAAACAGGAAGAAAGAAACAACAGAACTGATACATTATGACGTCAGCAAAAGTTTACTAAGCTTTCATGCTCAATTAAGAAAGGTCTCAAGACGACAGCAGTGTATTCCCCCTACCCCCACCTTCGAACCTCTTAATTAAAATAGCCTTAAGAAAGTTGTTTTGCCCACTTCATTAAAATTCTAAATAACAGCGTGGGGTGGAATTCTCAGACGGACTGAGACCAAACAGCTAGCTGTAAGACATTCTATCTTATCAGTAGCTCATCAAAGTTGGGCAATAGTCCAGGTCGAGTCAGGTCAACAAAGGACGTTGTCATCAGACTAAACTTTGACACAAGGAATCCGAGCATTGGTTTCTACCTTATTTGCATAATTTATGCAGCTTATGTCAGCAACATTTTATTTACTCATCATATTTGACTGTCCAGTTCTATTCGTTTCCAACCTTGACATTTGAAAGCAAATAAAATGTTAAAAGCTTCGATACTACGAAAGGTATTCCTGAGCCAAAGGCAAAGGAAGCTAGAGAGACCTGAATAACTTTGACATTTTCATCACTCCCCTCCCCTCCCTTATCTCTCCCGTAAGACATTATAGGCTCCCCGGGACGTTTTGGACACGCTCCTGGACCTGCACAAACATCCACACCGCCGCCGGTGTCAGACTGTTCTTCCCACGCGTAAATACTTGGCAAAATATTTTGGGGCTCTCTTAAAAGTGCAAGGATAATGCTCTACACGTAAATTGACCTGGAGTTGCTTGGTATGGTCGGGATGGAATCCCCCAGGCTTAATTACTCGAATGACAGATAAAGACAGAATTCGGACCCTGGTGGGCTTTCATTCAGACCTTTTTGTCGCTATGTCGGTGGGAGGCCTCAAACGTGGGCCTTGTTCAGAAGAGTGAACACATGTAGGGATAGACCGTTGTGTAGGGGGTAGGAACATAGCACACAGAATTGGAAAATGGAAGTCTCCGAACCAAAGACATCTGTCACGGTACTTTGGGATCATTCACTGAGCTATTTTGAAGACGTATTTGAAACGTCAGTCCCAAGGTCAAGGTCAACATTGGAGGGTCATCAAGGGGCAGACAATTGATCCCAAGGGGCAGACATTCTACCCCACTCCCAACCCACAAGAAAACACCTGTGACGTAAGTCCGGGCTATCTATGGCCTTACCACTTTCGGGTGATCTTCATTAGTCAATAACCCTCTAGGGCCCCTAGTATGCTACATCCAGTCGTGACAAGGGACTATTGGATAGGACAACTATGCATGCAGTTTCTCAGCGCTTACCGCTTCCGACACCTTTGAGCCTGGACGACTGATTTAAAGCCAATGTTATTGGTTAAGAAATACCAAACCTCCCCTCAAATAGGTAAATGAGAGTCAGGCCTTCTTGCTTACATTTTGCATTACCTTGGCACGGAGTCGTAAATTGAGTTTGAAGTTTCTCTGAGAGGTCCCTTTCGTTGGAAGTCCACCAGACAGCAGTGGGAATGGACGGAGGAAGCATGCGGTTTGACCTTTGACCTTCAGACGTCTGCGATATACTACGAACAAAGCTTCTGTGCCATGCTTTGAAACGGATACAAAGACGATTTTAAACCGTTGACTAAAAACTAGATTCTCCCTACTTGACTCGGCCAGTGACACTGACCCTTTAAAAATGCACCCCCTCCCACTGAAAAAGAAATATTACCTCTGATACCTGCGTTAGACTCGGCAAGTAAAAACAGATGTCTCAGTGGGGGCAGAATGTCTCCAAACAGCTTCTCTGGTGTTCACAGCAAGATAACAGATACTAGTGTCGAATAGCCTGTTGTGCAAACGTCTGCCGTGGTCTAATTTCAATAAATTTGTACCAAAAAATAGTTAATCACCATCACCAAGGAAAATTCTACATTGCTCAGGAGGGTTCTGGCAAGTATCACACACTATAAAACTTAAGTGGAGCTTAATCATTAAATATTTTAAATTCTGAACAAATGTCCGGCCCACCAGCACTAAAAACTCGAGAACAGAAGATTGCTTCAGATCAGATTAGATCAGAACAAGATTAGATAGAAGGATTGTGTCAGTGTGGTGAGCGAAATTACTTTGACCTGTTAGGTGCTGTTGCTACAACAAAGTAACCGTTGTCAAAATACCATCTTGGGAAACCCGCTTGGCATGTCGCCGTCTGTGCGGGGAGCGCAGTTTCATTCAAAAGTAAACAGCCAGAAGCACAAATTGGAACAGTCGTACTTTCCTCATATGCTGTGCTTTGGTTTGCTTGAATTTTAATTCTGTTTCTATGGCAGCGTTGTTTCTCATAATAACATCAAAGGCAAGCGTGGTTACCATAACCAATCAGACATTACCATGACATTTCACAAGATAGCTAACTTTTGCTGAGCTGACACCCTTACAAATGTGACTGACAGATTTTGCTGACGACAGCATAAGCGTTAACGAGAACCATGATTGACACTTCGCGACAGACGGCTGTATCAATTAACGAGAACCATTCGGGTCTGCGTCTTCTCCAGGCCGCCTTGAAGCTCCCTGTTTCGCAGGAATTTCTCCCACTTCGCTCTGTACTGTTTTCCCGCTTTCAACACGTACAAGTTACTTTCTGTCTATACACATAACTTGTCACCTACGTTGGGACCACGTTTTGCTTGAGGGTACTTTGTGTTTCTTTAATACACAGACTTTCTTGGAGAAAGGACCTCGTCACATAAATAATGTAACAGTAAATGAAAAATCGGTGAAGGTGTAAGTAAACCTTCCAAGTAACTGTCGTTTTTGCGTCAGCGCCCCTCCCCCTGGAGATCCAACCTGACATTTCATTTGCACAAACAGCGGTGGCAGGCAACCAACTGCTGGGTTTGGAGATTTTCCAGCTGAAATGTCTACCTATTTTAAGACATCCATGAATAAGATGATCACGGTTGGATAGGTCATTCGTCATAGGTATTTTACAATTTCAAGCTTCATCTCAGATGCATTTTATTTCTGCACGAAAGTTTGGAAAGTGATCCGTATGCATACAGTCCAAGTCCAACGTATTACAAGATCTATTTTCACTTTAAATACACTCTCTCACACACACACACTCACACACAGAGAGACTCACACACCTACACACACTCACACGCCTTCAGTGGTTTGAGTCCCATGTTGGTGTGCCCTGGTGAAAGTTTGGGATGATTGCCAAACATGTGGTTTTCGGTCTGCTGCCAAGCCATGTTTAAGGTTTCTTTTCCAACTCTGTGTCTCCTTTCCTCTGAAAACGTGATTTCAAACTCGTCCGACATATTAATGTGCCCAGAACCCTCACCTGTCTATTTAGAGCCGAGGGGATAACAGTAGACAGGCATTTGTCTGAGATTTGAGAGACCTTCCCCACATATGTTGACAGCTACTCGCAGGAGAGTCTAGGTTGTCAGTAGTCCTTTCTCACATGTAAGCCCTCAGCTTTCGCAACTTTTGCATACGTTACGCCCCTAAAGGTTACGAATTATCTAGACTGTAAAAAATATGGAATAAAATATGCAGAATGCTTTCACCAAGTGTTATCAAGGAAAGCTTAATTCGAACCATGGCCATCTGTTCATCAACTTCCCTGAAATTCCTTTTCGGCTCACTGCTCAGAGAACGAAAGTCGCCGACTTCAGTGTGGAAATGATTGCTACTTCTGAAGCCTAGTTTAGGAGGTGGTCCCTTGATGGATTAAGTGTGGATAAACTACGACTTCGAGAACTCCAGACTTGAGCAACTGAAAGATCTCTGATTTCCTGAAGGTTAGGACCAGTCGCCATGATTGATTATTTGAGTTGGCCGTCCCTGTTGGACCAACTCAGAGGTGCAAAGGAAATCTTGTCTGGCTTTCCCCATCTGGGGTTTCAGCAACAAAAATAAGACCTTTTGAGATTTACGACACTCCAGCGAGATGGGGTAGCTCACTTGTACCATTGCCAACATCAAAACGCAAGGATGAGGAGGAATAGGGGAGGGGCTAGATTTCAATTACTGTAGCCATGGAACCGAATGGTTTAGTTCAAAATTGTAAATACTTTTTAATGGCTTTGATCTTTTAGCTTAGTATCCCAGATTGATTTTTAAATATGCAAAAGTCGACTGCATGCCAAGCAGACATCATGTGTCATATGTCGACAGCACTGGACCGTGGCCAATGTGGGACTCAGTGGTAATATACACGTACAAGTTAACATTTCCGTTGAGAATTAGTACCCAAGAAAGACTTGGCAACGGTGGCAGTTCTTTTCTCCAAAGAAGAATTAGAATCCAACAATTTTCTGGTTTGCAAGAACATGGGGCCTGACGTATAATTGGGGGCTGTGGTGGAAAAAGACGAATGATGCGGGTATCCAATTACTGTGTGGGTGGACATGAGGAGAGGTGGATTGTTTTTCTAGTCTCGTCCGCTCCTTCACAAAGAACATCACACAGCCATGGTTTCCTCGTTCAGTTCACCCCATGTCTAGACGTGTAACTGTGTTGCGACGTTTGTGTTTTGATGCAGGAGTATTTCAAGCTAGTTTCTTTATTTGAATTCCTAAATATCCCTACACGCATTTACTAGTACGTCAAATCCCACTTTTCGTTGAAATTGCAAGTGAAGAATCAGAAAACATGAACCATGCAGGGCAGAAATTACACCTGAAATGGACAGAAACGCCAGACCGTATCCGCACACGCCTATCCGCACACGTAGCCTTCTACCCCAATTCTCGAGGTTGAATCAGCAACCCTGAACCCCGCTCACTACCCAGATAGACAAGTCTAGACCTGGAATGAACGTGGTCAAAATAAAAGAACAAACTGATTTCCAGACAGTCGAGAACACAAGTCAGATGCTGACTGTGGTAGACCCTGCTCAGCTGTTGCTGATTGGTTGAATATTTCGCGCCAAACGGTGTCGGATTACAGCCTATCATTGTAACATTTGAAAATGGCGGGAATTTGGTACGCCATACAACGGAATGGCGCGAAAAACTGACTCCGGTTGCTTGAATTGTTCGCGCCAAATGGTGCCCAGCTTATTATTGTCACCGTCTGATAAACCACATCTCCAATACTTGTCTAGTTGACTTGTTATAAAAAGAGGAAACTGATACTTTTTTTTAGAAATCTTGTATCTTATAATGTCCACGTTAGATGCTTTAGTATTTACATTAGCCAAGTTATGTCACCGAATGCGAATATCGTGAAATGATTGTGCAATACAGGCGCGCTCTGACAGGACCCTTCTCGGCAGTTTCTGATTGGCTTGAATATTTCGCGCCAAACGGTATCGGGTTACAACCTATCAGGTAAATATGACAATGGCGGGAATTCGGTACGCCATACACCACGGAATGGCGTGAAACAGCAAATGAGTCTCAAGGTTCACAAAACAAATAAAGGCATACATGTATTCAGTATGTTGTGTAGTTGTAGTCGGAGTGAAGTGTGAGAAATTGAAAATAGCAATAATTTCAGTACGAATATGGCAATAAAATTCTTAGTCTCCACACACAAGCCAATATCTGCGTTGTATCGCCTCCTACGATTAAAACGCCTGCACACAAAACATACTCCTAATGTCCCCGAAGTTGAAACATGAATCATTGAAGGCACACCGAGAAGTTACGAGGTTTTCCTTCCGGCCGCATTCCACAGAAGCTCGAAGTGATGAAAGCTCAACAGGTGCCTGTATTGTAATCAAATGCCCCATAAGTCATGTTTCAAGTCGTAGCAACAAATAACATGCAATAACAAGAAACTGTGCCTAAACTCCACATACCAGTCGTTAATCACTTACCCAGAGAAATCCCGAAGGAAGAGGGAATGGGCGATGTAACATTCCCAGTGAAATGTAGTAAATTGCAGTGAGCCTAGTTGAATTGTACATTGAGACATATAAAAGTTACAAAGTAACTTTGACTCAACAACGAGCTGTTTACTCCAAATCATATGAAAACAGAAATTAAAGACGAAATTCTTGTGATTGAAAAAGGCATTATTACGTCTAGAATGATGCAATAGGAGGAAAGAAGCCATGGGCAGAATCCAAATGGAGTATGGGTTCATGTCATAAGCAATAGTGTCATTGAAATCATTGTTATTACTTTTATAAAATGTCAAACATTAGAATCGTGCTGTCAATTGTCCGGTACCGTGTAACGTCGTGACAACGTAACGATCTAGTATATACCCTAGTTCCTTCGGCTTGGTCTAGGCACACTCTAATGGACAATCATATTCTCTTGTGTTACAGGGACCTGAGGGACCAGCTGGACCTCCTGGGCCACCCGGTTTACCTGTGAGTAAAGATTCTTATTTACTTCGTTCCTATGTCTTTCACTCATACACTGTATGTCTAGTCCCCGGTAATTCTGTGATGACCAGCCTGATGAAGTTAACTATTTTGTTTGCGAAGCATCTTGTTGTTTTCTTAAAGTTTTAGAAGACATGTTGTTCCCATTAGGCAACTTTGAACCATTGATTCAATTTTGGGTACCGAGTTCGTTTCCTCGAATTTATCTAATAAGGTGTGATTAGTCTGAAGGCTTTCTGCCGCAGGCATTTTTTGTGTAAGCTCGGCGTCATCTACAGTTAAAACAAGATCCATCGTTCAAAATGTTGAAAGTCACTTATCTACATGTAAAAGCTATCTACTGATATTGCCATAGGTCATTGACCTGTCAGTTTTTTTTTTATTTCTCATGTAGAATATGTGATTTTAATCACCCACTTCTTCAAATGATATTTACGTTCAGTTCAAATTGTTTCCAATGGCTCCCTGTGGAGGAGTACGGAAAAATCATGCAGGGAATCAGCGTGATGAGTGCATGTGGTGTGTGCATATTGGGAGAGCCTAATATTGTTACCATACCATGAGAGGACAGAGTCTCCTTCGAAGTTCGAGTTTAATTTGGTATAAACCGGTAGGTAGATTGGTGGACATGGATGAGACTCAATGAGTTGGGCCTATGGCTTAACAACATTTAAACTAGTTGCATCATCTGTTAGATCATCAAACTAAGCTCGTAGACTAAAGAGGAATTTTATCGAACACCCATCTCCATAGGTGCCGTTCTAATTTTAGCTCCAGCCGTTGTTGATTAGTTGATTGGGTATCTGAAGGAGTTTCCCTTTCGCTCACATGATGTGGCTATCACTAAGATTATCTTGATCCATCCTGTAATTGTTACAACATCACAGAGACAACAGTATTTGGCTGCTCAGAGTTGATTTGAGCCATTTTGCGGCCAAACGTTTGGACAGATTATGGCTTTTGTTTTCAAGAAATGTCAGGACCTATTCGAGAAGCTTCAACAGGTCAAAGAGGTCATAGTTCTATGGAAACGAACTCGCACTGCCTGGAGAAAGTACATCGCATTCCGACAAACAGATAAGACAGGAGACATAATAATGAAGACTCCTAGAGCCTTTCTAAGTCCCTCGGGGCTAGGAAAAGCACGCAGCTTGTGGTCTGAAAGTCTGGAAGGTATTCCTGTTATCCATATGGCTCGGATACGGTCAGAGTCCAAGGCTGTTCTCTGTCATCTTCTCTTTCGTGTCACTCTCTTCAACCATTGCAAGTCATTATGGCTGACGAATATCAGACGAACAGCTGCCTTGACGTTGATTTGCTTTGGCATCTTTATCTCCCCATGATCATGACATGTTCTTTTCTAAAGTTCTATGATGCCTCATATGGTGTGGAAAACACATACTGGGTAGGAATGTCTATAGACATGCAGTAATATAAACCCACAAAGGTGGTAACGATATACCATCGACTCTTCCAAAACTCGACATTCAAAACACAAACCAGACCGAAAATGAAGGACGGCGACCGTTTCCATGTGGGTTTTGTTATAGATAAGCGTATGAACATCGATTTTATTAGCTTTATCAGTTATGAGTCGTTTGGTTCGGCATCTTGACACAATCTGAGGCAGATGTAATGCAGATCATTCGGGGATACAGAGGGCGGCGCACGGTGACGTGCTGTCACTATGGAAACGGTGCACGAAAGGAAGAGCTATACTTCACCCAGGCAGAGGTGATGCGCTTTATTTATCTACAGTCTAAAAGGCATGACGGCTATGAGGTATGTCTTTGCCCTGTCCGTTTTGGACAGGCCAAATAAGTCAGCAAGTACCCTTACAGTTCAAATGAAAGCTTTTACATCAACAATGTATTTAGCAGGTGTCACATTCTTGGGCGTGTGGTTTTCATTGTCGCCTTCTAAACCTAGAAAAGGCAATTTTTGTGATAGCTAGAGAAGGTGCACGCCAACAAGACTCTGGATAGAAAGCACTTCCAGAATTTATTTCGGAAGAGAAATTAGAAGTGCCTTGCTCGAAACGTCATCGATTAAATGACGACGAATTTTTGGTGGGAGGAAATTCCGTAATCATGGAACACAAAAGGCCAGACACAGGTAGCTAGGTCCCAGAAGCTGGTGGCTGGAAGATCTAGACGTGCCAGCGTGTCCTGTTGAATAATCAACACATTGTAAAACTATGCCATGTGTTATTCGGTGACTGTACCAGTGCTTACATAACACACCAAGGTTAGGTTGTACCAGTATAATTATCTCTAACGAGTAACATCTTCGCCATGAGTGCTTTGTTTTATTAAAAGTTTCATACATTTCACACATCCAGAATTGCTTGAATTCCTATGCTAAGGTTTTTATACACTATTGTGACAGAGGTTGAGCCTTGCACATGCAAGTGGATTGCTCCACAGTCAATTAGAAATTCACACCAGCTGTTGAAATTCTACCCTTCCTGGACAAAGCCGTGGAAAGTTGTCTAGAATGTTCGGATTGTCTTTTAGTTGTAAACAAGACATTGATATTATGAAGTAAGTTTAAACTGTAATTTCCAACACAACAAAAAATGGACTCACCCAAATTTTCGACTGCACATGACTTCTACCAACACAGATGAACTTCAAGATAAGACATTGATGAAAATACAACTTATGAAACCAGTACGATATGGTTTTATCTAGTTTATGTCCTATAGGTTATCCCATTTCTCCATAGCCCAAAGATGACGACCCCCATCTCTCTTTACTAAGTTTATTACGTTTGCCCACGGTTATGCATTACTTTTAGGGCATGACCAGGTATCAATATCACCTGTCGGCCGGGGGATCGGGTAGACTAGACTTTTGAACTTGTTGAACGTCATTGGTCCTTTTCCCTATTTGGTGGAATGCCGAGTTTTCTGGCCTTTCTTCACACAGGCCACATGGGACGTTCTCCTACAGTTCAATCAACCTTTTCTGCAAGGAAAGGCATGATCCCTCCGCACCCCTTGCGACCGATCTGGGTCAAAGAAGTAGATGCGTGTTTTCGTTTAGCGTTGTTTTCGCCACACGGGGTTTTAGAGGATCAAGGCTTGTAGTCCATATACCCCGGTAGTGACAGGTTTCGTCTATAGATGTTACTGATAGGGTCTGTTTGTCTGCAATGGTTCTAATCTGGTCACCTCGGTCTTTGAGCGCCTTTGATGTGTCAGACTGGACGGACGTCTATATGCCTTTTTAGTGTACCTACGGGGAGTGGCATGTGTTGACATATCTGGATCATATACTGATGTTTCCTGCTGTTTCATTCGTCACAACGTTGTCTTAATATGTACACCAGTCAACGTTAGTCCTCGTAATACCTTCAATGAAAGGTTACCACTAAAACCTCGGTGTGTCTGATCCTCTTTGATGTGCACTTATGGAAAGAGAGTCTTTTTCCAGATACATGTATTTGCGTCAGTCATTGTTCAAGCACATTCCATTTGCTTGCGATAGTATAATATATTCAACAAAGGAGCAAACTTGTCCATACATACGCATGGTGATACCTCAACGAAGTCAGGCCCTAAGTTTGAGGTGTGATCTCCGGCGGTTTGACATCTGCATCAGCTGACTTATAATACTGCCCATGGACTTGCCCTTGAGTTGCCCTTCCTGTTTTCAAAGACAAGCCGGATAGCCCACTGTTTTTCTATATTGAAGCTCTCCCCTAAACAACGCAGGCCCACAAGTGATAATAGCCAGAACAAGGTGAATCGTATTTCAAAAACCAACTGTGGAATACATGCGAAACCCTAGAAAGATGTTTGCGTGCTCAGTGTGTTAATGTTTATTTTCCTTTGAATGTATAATGAGAAGGAAAGAACAGCCTTTCGGTCATACAATAACTTATAAGTGGAAACGGCCGTCAGTTTCTTTTATTTTGCATTTAATTTTTTTCTGCACTTTTAATAAGATGGGAAAAACTCGTTCCTCAACTAGCCAACAATTCTCTAGTGCCGCCTTTAGATGTGCCACCCACCTAAATTTGTTGACGGTGCACTGTCGATCCCACGCACTACACTATTGGCTGGAAAATTCATCCGATCTGGTCCTGGTTTCCTCTCAAAGACGAAGAGGTCATCGGCGGTGAACTCTATTGAACTCTCAGCACGAAGAGATGAGACTTGAGTGACACGTTGTCGGTCGTTGCTGGCAACAGGCGTGAATGGCCGCTTTCACCGTGGTATTGTTCACGTAATGATTGGTACGTTACAGAACACACACAAAAAACAACAGTAGATCGTCATAAAACAGTTTCGATGACGTACACATAAAAAGAAATGAAAAGAAGGGTCGTGTCTTTTCAGTAAGCGACTATGCATTAGGTATTAATTACATTGGACAGGTTTCAGACGGAAAAAATTACTGCATGTTTCCACGGCGGCAGAAGATGAACACGCCCAGACCACATCCTTTACTTTTCCAGGAAAAACTATGTTTGTAAAGAGATACAAAGGAAAGATGTGACACCACTGGGAGCGGATGGAGGTGGGAGCGGATGGAGGTGTGACTGGCAGGCTAAAAAAGAAAAGTTGGCATGTTTGTTTAGTACTTCCATATATCTGTCACTCAGAAGCGTCACACCGTCTCCCAAGACGAAAAGAGCCCAATGTCTGGAGGCCCCGCCCCTCTGTTACCTGACATTCAGTCTCGATATTTCACTTACTGGCTGGACATCGAGAGAAAACCGTTTTTGTTTGAAATATTTATGTTTAGATATTGCAGATATTCAAGAATCGACAGTGTCTTCTATATTTGTTTGCAGCCTCCACCAGGCCTTCCCATGACAATATACGGATCGTAGCATTTGGCAGTCAGGCAGTCCGTGGAAGGTTGATTCTTTCATTCTTCCCGCGGCCAGTAAAACCCCGAGGCGGTCAAACTACCCTGGCAAATATTCTCTCTATATCAAGCCAGCGTAGTTAGTCTGGTAGAGACTAATTTGTT